GATCAAGCGTGCATGATTCTTCTTTCGCCACACAGCTCTCCCATTGGGGCTGATTTCATGTCAGTTATCAGAGCTCTCTGTAGCCTGCCGACAAACGAGGAAGACGTACCCAGGTATACGCGTTAAACTTGTCCGTCCGGAAGAAGGGATTTCGGTAACCCGTTTCAACAATAGCACACTCTGATGTGTCTCCTCTGAACGCATCGCCGTTCGGGCTGCTGAAGCAAGGCGCTGCGAGAGGTACCGCGGCGTGCAGCTTCCCTCCCAAAGTCGCATTCAAAGCACACCATTTGTAGGAGGGGATGGCAGAAGTGGGGAGGCCTCTGTATCTGTCAGCTAACGTACAATATCCGAGTTCAACTGAGACCAAGGAAGCGAGAAGGAGTGACAATAAACCCATGGATGTACGGCAGCAGGCAGATGCTGTGAGGAGCGCCGCCGATTTACGAGGATGATGATAATATGACGGCGTGTGACAAGCTACGCAAGCATACTGTACTTATACGAATGCAGGCAGGAGGGCGGACGTCGCTCGGCGTCGGGCGAGGAGATCATGAACGTAAGATGGCATCAGCTTCTAGGGTCGAAGCCACGCCTTTCCATCTTTCCCTCGTGAAGAAAAGTCCAAATGTTGCTCGCTGCGAAAACACACAAGAACTCAACTTTTCAGCTGATGCCTCGGGAGTATCGTCAGCCCGAATCACGAACCGGATCTCCACCCCGCATCATCCAGTGTGATAAGAATACAGTCCTTCTGTTAATACATTCGTTTGACAGAAGTATCACCACGTTCTTGATATAAAGTGCCTCACCCTGGCTCAATGTTAGCGTTTCCTCATCAACAAGCAGGATGCCGCCGACTTCACAGACAGGCGATGATGCTCTGGAACGGGTTCACATCGCTTCGCTCTTCGTAGAAAGCATTATGTATGGCTGGCTGCTAATCTCCTTCGTGTTTGCCATGCGATATATGATCCTTGACGAGTCGGGGATCAAGATGAAGCGCCGCGTTCACTGGCACCTGGTGGTAGTGGCGCTCCTGCTCTTCTCGCTGGCAACAGTGGATGTCTGCCTCGGACTCGTCAGAGTCCTTCGGCTAGACGTCCATTTTCCACCTACGGGGGTTGATACGATGTTGGTGAGTCTCCCTTGCCTGCTTGCCGTGATGTTTGGTTCTACATAATTACTCCCCCAGGTCATCGGGGTCTTCATAGTCATCGTGATTGTCGACGCTGTTCTGGTAACGTCCTCTCACTATACTTGCCGATTATCGTCTCATGATTAACAGGTATACCGATGCTGGGTGGTATACCTACATTCCTGGAAGGTCATAGCCGTTCCGGCAGCTCTGTGGTTTGGGACCACAGCAACCGTCATTTTCTATGTGTACAACACAGTTGCGCTACATGTCGGGACACCAGTAGACACCGCTCGCTTGGAACACGCCCTTGAGGCTATACTGTCCTTGACGATCGTACAGAATATAGTTTCAACCGGTACGTTGTGTTTCAAAAAGTCCTTGTCTTGGCTGACCGTTCCGAAGGCTTAATTGCTGGGAGAATATGGCGAATCGATAGGGAATCAGCTAAATTTCGAACTCGTCGCACGCAGAAGTCGCACCTGCAGACGGTCACACGGATAGTGATAGAGTCGGGGCTCTTATGCACGCTAAGCGCCTTGTGCTCGTTTATATCCTTCTGGACGGATAAAAATGCGGGTTACATTGCCTCTGACGCTGTAAGTGGCGCTCTGCTCACCAATCACTTCATCTTGACCCACTTTTTTGAAGGAAATACAACTCGTCTCCATAGCCTATAACCTCATCATCATCCGCACGGCGTATCAGACCTCCGACGAGTATGCATTCCCCTCCCCGAGTTCTGGATCTGGACCTACGCTTCAACTTTCAATCGTTCGAGCTCCCAATGGCTCCTCGGGAGATTTTGAGGCTGCCCCCCGTGATGTTATGTCCTCATTCAACGACTTGGAAGACAATTTGACAACCAAGAAGCAGAGCACGTATATATGATGGATGATATGAAATAATTATCACTATTTATCAGTCTGTAAGCTGTGTACTAGGATGAGGACTCAGATGTAACAAGTTTGTTAGGAATTTCAGCCGGTTTTGCGCCACAGGCCCAAGCGGCTGGCTATGTACGTTGACGGGCCATATCCCAGATACGTTTTAAAAAACAATCACTCGCGTAGTAGTAGTACTACTAGTAGTAAAGCCTTTCTATTTGTGCCGGCGCCGGGCCGACGAGCCCAGTAGTGCAAGGAGGCTAGAGGGAATAGTCTTTTGGAAGTCTTTTTTGACTTGATATCTGACACCCGGACCGAGACTCCGAGAGTAAACGATCGGGTGCTTGGCTACACGTGGCCTTCATTTCATTTCCACCACCATGACCAGACCATGGCTTCCCTCGCTCGTTTTCAGCCAACCCGGTGTTTACTCCAATTAACTTCCCCTGTATACGGTCCCCGTCTGCGTATAATACTATGCCTGACTGTCCCTGAAGCAACTCTATTGTTCAGAACCTTGTTTATTGTGGCGTCGCGGCTTTTTATCCCGGTAGTCTTTGATCATGCGCCGCGGGTACCAGCCTTTCTACAATCACTCTCCTACGCTCTATGCCCCCCTTCTGGAACGTCATGCCTCACTGTCCCTGACTCTTCGCTGTCAGTTTATGTTCTGAGCTTTGTTTCTTGTGGCGCCGCAAGTTTCGTCCCGGGGATAAATCTTGGTTTCGGTAATCTTCCATCGTGACAGCGGCCTTATTTTGTTCAGTGCGGTGCGTAACTTACAGAAACTCGAACTGGCAATGCTGATCGTAGACTTTGGCGGACTCGTCGCCGAGACGGATACTGGACGTTTTGGCTTCATCGATGTGAGTAAGTTCCGAACTTAATGACCGTTATGACCTCCTTATCATGTTTTTTTGGGCAGGACCAATGACAACACCGTATCCGTGTCAACATCGGACATTGATGTTGCGACGCATTCGATTTACAACCTTGCGACATATTCGGCTCCGTTATCTTGACTACTTACAATAGTCGTGTCTTACTCATGGTCACTTCGAATGACTTCATTAGGCTGCAGACCAATACTACGTCGCGTCTTCTCGAAACAATGGCTGGGCGTAAGACGCCACCTTGTTCTCTCAGGCTTATTGCGTCGCAATATCATCTTGCTCACGCGCACGGAGTGGCTTTGTAATGGAAGATGAAACCCGCAGCATGGCGGTGTTCAATTGCAGTGCTCTGGTCAGTGAGTAATGACGTAGAATCTTCGATTATACTCAAGTATCAGTGCTACATATCGGCATTGACTGTTGAAGACATAAGAACTATCAGTGTTCTTGACGACGCTTGTAGATTATTGTTCGCGGATGGAGACGACAATGTGAATAGCAGGCGACAGTGCATCGGGCACGGTGAATATGTATGTTGTTAAAGTTTCTCTAAGTTCGTTTATCCTTCCACAGAAACGTCAACCGGGAATCGTATGCCCGGTGAGGTCTATGTCATGTCAAATCGACGTGTTCTAACGCCCCACTAGGAGCTACAGTGCATGATGAATGGAAGGTGTCGCACCACCATCCACCAAAAGGCGCCACTTAACATATCTTCGTGGGCTGTTACGGGGAGCGTGAGTTAATGGTCTTACTAAACAACCCCTTTCTAAGATAGAGATGCTCTGCTTGACAATATTGGATTTTCCTGCGTATAAAAGTGCGCCTCAGGCTTCCGCAATCGACATTTTCCACCCTCGCATCTAAACATGGTTGGGACGATTAAACAACAGCTCTACGTCACGGGTATCCCGAAGGGTCTGACCATGACGGTCACCCAGCTCAATCTCTTACCGCCTGACCCGCCAAAGGAATGGCGTGCGACATTATACGACAGCGCCGAGCGCCAGCGTGTGCGTTGATTGGCTGTCCTTTGTCCGGAGTTTAACGCCATACTTCCCAGTTTGCTCCTTTTACGATTGATCCAAGCGTCAATCAAGGATACGTCGGCGAAGTCAAGATGTACGGCGCGCATGCGTTTCCAAGGTCCTACCTCCCAGCCATGTCTACTTCCTTGTTGAAAGCTCATTCAATCTTTAGCAACAGTCTCGGTGCTCGTCTTGAGATCCTCTGGAAGTTGACCGGGACACCGACTGGCCGGGTCGGTGATGCTGACTTTGAGGTCACAACCGACCCAGCTGATGACACGGTGGTACACCCTCCTTTGAAGCCCGAGGGCTCTGACCCCGGCGACCAAGCGCCTCCAACTGTCGATCCGAACGACCCAGACACTTGGGCTACAAAGTTGGATCAGGTGGGCTCTGCTGATCCACGCGAGGAGCCTGTGCGCTCGGGGCGCTTCATCGTCGAAACTACCAAGTGGGGGCTCATCCAGCGCCCGGATTATGTCGCCGTGGTGTACCAGGTCGGGAGCGCGACGCCGCTTCGTGTGGTCTCCAAGGTTGCTGCCACAATCATCGACCAGCCTGACGATGCGCTCTTCGTTATTGGAGTGAACAGTAACACGCAAGAGATTGGGATCAACGGTGTGCAGGACAAGGCGGTGTCGGACACGCTTGTGAGTTATCTGATCAAGGGTATTTTCTATGTGCATGAGAAGGCGTTCGGCTGGGTGTTTGGAAAGTTCTGGTGAAGTATGCGAGGAAGGGAAATGAACACCTAATAAGAATTCTTACCGTATGAATGCGGTTGTAATTATAGGTAGTCGAGTATGTCATTGCAGTATCAGACATGAGATATGCTGGGGTAAGTCAGTCAGGTGCATCCTCACGATCGCTAAGTTCTTCAAGTACTAATGACATATGTGTCACACTCCCTCAGAGTGCCGTATACCTAACAAGAACATGCGCACTAACATTTTCAGGACTTTTTTTACCATCCTCCTACTGGCGCAATTCTTTTCCTCGCATGTGTCCTATTTGTTTGAAGCTCGGTCCGCGCCACAGAACAGCCTTTCCTACAGGGTCAATGGCGTAGTTGGTTATCGCATCTGTCTTACAATCGTGCACAGAAGGTCCTCAGTTCGAGCCTGGGTTGACTCATAAAGTTCCATCATCTCTTTTGTTACACACACATGTATCGTCCGGACACCGAGGACCGAATCCGATGAGACCCTACTGGCGCTGTAAATCGTTCGTTAAATTCTGTGAAGCTTATTACCAAATCCTTTCAATGTCTCACATCCTCAGCAGTGTGAGTTGCGCATTTGTACAGTTGCTGTACAGTTATTGTATGCCAAATCAAGCATCATTTAGATGAGCCTCCAATGGAATGAATCAATTATTGAGGTCGGTGGGCGGATTGGAAGCAAAAGGATGGTATCACCGTCGTCAATTGAATGCGCTCAATTGTGAAGAGCTTTCAAATAGGAAACTATCTATGGTCGCAGCTAACGATGGGAGCCCGATGGCGGGCGCTCGATTTGAGAATCAACGAGTCGTATCGAGCACTAATGCAACGGAATGGACTCGCCGGAGCGGCGCTCGTGACTGGGCCTCGGGTACTTGCAATACCAAGAATGAGCGAGTGCGTAGTACTCTGGCCGTCGAACAGTGCAAGCGGTGTCCTTCAAATTCATAGGGCATCGCCGCCGCCTTGTATAAAAGGCGACTCCCGAGAAATGGTCCTCCCCAACCCCCCCGTTTCGCAACGATGCTCTCCCAAATCCCGCTCTTCGCGTTCACGCTCCTCTCTGTCGCAAGCGCGCAACTGAAAGAACCCACGTTCACCAAGCTCTACGACGTGCAGCTCTTGGCGGACGTGACGAGAGGACGCATCATCGGTCCGTTTGGGGAGCGCAGTATAGTTGCCTGGCAAGGGTGAGCCCCCCCCCCCCCCCCCCCCCCCCCCCCACCTACCCATTACTACCTGCCGACTCACTCGGCGTTTTAGAGGAAACTTTACCGAACCCGGGACCAGCAACCTCGTCGCGCAAGTCATCCCTGGTCTGGGAGGCGAGTTCGGTCTCCTTGGCAGTAACGCAGCGTTCTATGCAGACGGACGCGCCGCTGTTCAATACGTCGGAGAGGACAAATTCGCGTATATCGAGATACACGGTGTTGATGTCAAGTGCGTGTGAAAACTCCGTAACCCCCCCCCCCCTCCTCTTGCGCCGGGCTGACCGCGATTGGATTTACAGCTCCTTAGGAACAGAGACCCATAACCTCGTGTAAGTTGATTCTTCGAATTTGCTGAGTTCAGTGTGCTTAGAGTTTGACGTATAGGCATTTCGAAGTGGATCCGGATTCGCCCCATGTAGACCTTGTCTCAAAGTTCCTCTTCCTCAGTCTCAACATCGCCGGCAACCCGCTAATAGGTTCGCTTTATCAATTGGTGAGCTCGTATTCCCCCCTTGAAGAGATGCACTCACCGAACACGATAATCCTAGGATGATTAATCAGCTTGTTGACGATTAGCATATACAATGACTGTAACCCCACAAGAACAAAATGAGTAGCGTTAAATTTAAAAGCGACATACATATTCAAGAGAGACTGGATGATATACTCTAGTTCTTTACAATGAGTGAACAATACCAGGTACCTCTGGGAATCTCGGAGTAATACTGCATTTGAAGGGCAGCGGATGTCTACACAGAAACATAAGTATGAAGTACCAGGCACCCAAACGAGAAATGACGCTCACGAAACAACGCCGTCACTATACGCCATCACATCCGGGAGCACCTCCGCTTCCTCTCCCTCTCCCTTGCCAAGTGGGCGAATATCAAAGGCCCACAAAAGCCCCGCCAACCCGATAAACGTCGTGTTCAAAGCCAAGTATCTCCCAGGGCAGATCCGCCTACCAAATCCAAACGCGCCAAGATTGATCGGATTCGGCTGGGGTTTGTCGCCCATGAAGCGCTCCGGTTTAAAGGACTCCGCATCTGGGTAAGTAGCTTCATCATGTAGGATGGCCCACGCGTTGCCGAAGACGGTAGATCCTATTTGTAATTTATAAACAGATTGAATAAATCGGAGGGAGTACATACCTTTGGGAATGAAGTACCCTTCGTAGATATCGTCGGACACAGCAGCGTGCGCGATCGCTGGGCAGGAAAGTAAGTAAGGTCTTGCCCACGACAGCAGGTAACGGTACCTAGAGGTGTCACCGGTCGCCATCTCATTGCCTCTAAAAGCACTGCCTCGATATAGGGCAATTGCGACTGATCATCGAAGTCTGGAATCCTATTTCGACCAACGACCTCGTCTAACTCACCGTGCGCCTTTGCTTGGACCTCTGGATGGTGTACTAGCGCAAGAATAGCACTGAGAACAACAGCAACAGTCTGAGGGGATGAATAAGCATTTGGCGATGCAAGACGCTCGCGAGACATACGGTATCGGCACCAGCAGCGAACGCCACGCCTGCGCAGTTTCGAACGACCTCCACCATATTGGTCTGAGAGCCCGAGGTCGATTGTCGGATTTTCTCGATATTGGTAGAAACGAACGACGGTGTCGCGGTCCCAGCATCCTACACAACGCCTGGATGTCAGCATACCAAATAGGCAGTGAAGAGTTGGCGACGAACAATAGACTTGAGAAGCTCGTTGAAGGGGTCATCTCTCAAAGCAATGGCATCCCGCGCTGCAACAGCTGCTTCCTTTTGAAACTTTACAAACGGTAGCCACGCTGCATGAAATTGACGACGAGATGAAAATGTGATCAGGGTGCCAACTCACAAGGAACACGCTTTAACAAGGGAAAGTAGTCGACGACGTAGCTTCCTGGTATGAGCGCAAGCACCAGACCGCGAAGAGCGTTGTCCGCGAGCGTGACATAGCTGTCGTTGTAAGGATGTGCTTCATAACCATAGATAATTCGCAAAACAGTAGACCCAGCGTGACTGAGAATGAGTCAACGTCATGATTCAACAAAGGGAGGACATGGAACGTACTGCCTAACGTGACCAAAGAACTCGTCTGGAGTCTCTAGCATCTGCTTGAGGAATGTATGCGTCGCCGCGAGCTGAATGGGCTGATATGTAACAGCTTCTTTCGTTTGGAAGTATTGGTGGAATGTCTTCCGATGAAGCCTTCGAAGGTATTGAGCATTGACGTCAAGAAGGATAGCGACCCGAGATTTGTACCTCCACTGGTCCGAATATCGCATGTGAGCAAAGTCCCACCACCACTGCCTCAAGTCATTGGCCATATGGAACGCTATATACATATGTGTGAGTCAGTTGTCTCAACTTGGGGAAGAGGATACACACGGGGACGATCAGCGTAAATTGAGGATCTTTTCTCGAAGAGTTCATTCGCCGCCTTGGCAGAATTGACGACGATGACAGGCTGGCCTAATATTTCCATCGAAAGCACGTCGCCATACTGCACCGTCCATTCTGTGTACTTCAACCACGTCTTGTGCATCGGCCGGTTGAAAAGATTCCCGACGATAGGGAGTCGACGTGGTCCTGGAGGGAGAGGAAGAGAAAGCTGGCGTCGTTTGAGGAGCAAGACCGTGGTGAGGAGAATGAGGGCATAGATGACAACAGAAGAATAGTCCATGATGATGGATTTGAACAAGATGGCCGTTTCAAGTAGACGTTCAAGCAAACCAAATCACTTCCATTTATACGGGTGCATCATCTTGGGATTTTTCTCAGCCGAATACGTCAAGTGACAGATCATGAGAACAATATAAGAGCACCCAATGAAGAGACGTTGGAGTCCCATTCACACAGATTAGGTGGATCGCTATAGCAATCTATGCGACGCCAGATCCTGAACAGCGGAGCGCGCAATTGACAACTCACCGAGAGACTCCATGTCTAGCTAAATATTCCCATGATACCGTTCAGATCGTACTGGCAAAGAAGCCAGTCAGTACGACCCTGCAGTGAGGGCTAGAAATGAAGTTGACCATACCTGTTTTTAGCGTAAATTGAAGAGTGTCAAAACCGATTCATTCGCGGTCATGTTATCCTTCGGCAATTCGTCAACCCCGGGATGCTCGACCGAAGAATTGAGGAATCAGGACAGAAAATGTCTGTTTGAAACAGGTCAATCTCGCAGATCACGAAGACGCATAAACTTACATGATGAGAGAAAGGTTGCGCGTTGATATCTATACCGCATTACACCGCCCAATGTAGATGGCACCAACGAGTACACATTAGAGGAAATGCCTTATCCATTTTGAGGTAGGCGTTGGGTCTTATTGATGACTCTTGTTTCACCGAGGCTCGTGGCGGTCGTTTGAAGTTCCGCGCTTACCATCGTCCGCAGCATCGACGTAGGATACAGACAAAGTGCTCCAGGGCCGACGGAAGACTTCGGGGGTATGCCGGGCGCCCAGTGTGTTGGTTGTGTGCCCAGACAAGATCACAAAGAAGGCGACCGCGCCTAACTTGACGCCAAAAATGGCGGACACAGAACTTATAAAGGCTCAAAACAACTATACGTCACGCATGACCTGGAGACCACGGTGTGTCACTGTGTGAAAGGCAGAAAAGAGGAGCAGACGCCTGCACGTGGATGAGACGGGCTATGGGTGGCATGAGACGATTGAGGGCACATTCATCAACCAGCGCGTCGCGGAGTGCGAGAGTATTGCCGAATAATAAAGGCAGTCCTTTTCGCTGGGAAGTGCGACCGTCGTTCCACCGCAAAATATTCCTTTGATTCCTGAGGCTAAGAACCATTTACGAGCATTGATTGATCGAGTCTTTGGGCAACATGAGGGAGGGAGGCAAGTCACGGGTATCGGCTCGAGACTCCGAGAGGCTTCATAGCACCAAAGTTGGCCGTGCAATGCTTTCAGTCTGAAGCAGATGTGACAGTCTCCGCGCAAATAACTTTTATTCATTCGTGTGACATGGACAATTCAACAAAAACGAGGCCAGAGGCTGTCGAGAGGGAATCCAAGTGAGAAAAAGACCGCGTCAAAATGACGAACAACGCACCCAAACTTCAAGAGACGCGTACCCACTTTACGGTGGCCTGCAACGGCGACAACAGCTCCTGCATGCTCTTGATGATTTCGGGCGGAGGAACCCTGACCGCGTCCGCGTTGGAGTTATCGGCCAGTGCCAGCAA